ATAGAGCTTTCGAACGTAGATTTGAAACTTGTAACATATATTAGAAACCGAACGCGATAACTCTTTACACTCTCTAAATATTTGTTTTAACGTGTGTCTCCTGAAATATACTGCCACATTAACTGGTCATAATGTAGAAACCGCAACACGTTATTTAGCAACGTTAATGAAGTGAGATCCATATTTGAAATTGCCAAGCGGGCGGGTTTTCCCAAAAAGTGCTTCTGAATATTTTGTTCGCGGTAATATGGGCTTCATGGCCTAAAGTGGATCCAATACTGCTGGGGACCAATCAGAATGCAGGATTCTAAAATATTATGGAAGAATACTTAATGTGACTCTCACGTTGTGCTCATTCACACTCACACGACACAGTATTACCTTCACGTGTCTGTTTTCTACGAGCAAGAAATATGACGACCACAGCGGTGACGACGATCAGGACAGAACAGACAGCAGCCACAGAGACGGTCGAAGCGACGCCAACTCCAGTAACCTCTCGTGCTGGAACATTCAAGATGCAATACTCGCATGTGTGTGTGTGTGTGTTCGGCGCTTGATCCATATTGTTAAATGAATGGGAGTGGGTGGTACAATGAGAACGGCTGATCCTCGGAATATATCATACCACAGCTATTCTGTCTCTGCACATGTTTTGCCAGGTGTGGTGTTCTTTCTTGTTGTGTTTATCGGTATCCTTAAACTGAATAAGCTATGTTTCACACGAAATAAGGTTGAATATTTATGTGTCACATGGTAATTTAAATAATGCATTAATGACATACTCGTTTCAATAATAACTCTGAAATTTCGCAACAACAGCGTTTACGGCAGCTGAAATAAATATATGTTTGCATGCCACTGACACTGTTACTAAAGTCTGTCGCTAATGTTGTAGGAGTCTTACAGAACACTTCCAGGGTCAGGTTCCGTGATGTGTTCCCATGTGTGTTGTTGACGTGACAGATGTACTGTCCAGACACAGATCTGTCTACAGCTGGTATATACAGCACAGCCTCCCTCTGTCCCGTGATCTCCCTCTGTCTGGATGTGTTCCACCAGGTAACAGTGCAGGCGGGGTTACAGTCAGCTGAACATCTCACTGTGAAAGGGTCACCTTCTTCTGCTTTTAGCCTGTCACTTGCACCGTTAAACTGTATCTGGTCAGGTCCATCTGGAATGTTTGATGTACTATTGCCAGTAGTTCCACACTGTATTACTAGCTAAACGGAAAATGCTACTGAACGTGATGGCGGTTCATACTGTGATGTACGAGTACAGTTTGGTTTTGTAATATATATGTAAATAGCGAATTAAACGTGCAGTTTGTTTCTGACATGTGTGTGACTACTGGAAATACACATGTGACATGGGCCAATGTTGTACAAGAGGGAGGGGTAGTATGGGGAAGGAGGAGTGAGTGAGTGAGTGAGTTGGGTATAACGCCGCTTTTAACATTATTCCAGTAATATCACGGTGTGTCGGCTTTATGTGGTACGAAAGCCCGAAGTGATGCAGGTCTTAGACGTTTGCCACTTCGGTGAAACCCACGACGATGGGAGCGACACCAGCTTTAGTAACCTCACCTGCTGGAACAATTAATGAATAACAAAAGCATTGTTTAGGATTCTAATGTTTCCGATATATAACACATGGAATAGGGAGCCACTTTAATTTGTAAATGTGGTGAACTTCAGCAAAATTGTCGCAAATCTTACGAGTTATCGGAACAGTTTCGTTTGTCGAATTAGGTAGTAAATAAACAATCGATTTCTGTCTTTAATACAGATCTTTGTTACATTGATTTTGAATGAACAAAAACGCTTTGCCATTTGAAAGAATCTCAAGAATCACATTGACGTGATGTCACATCATCAGAATATAGTCAATATTACCTGTTTAAATGATTTATCATCTCTTTGGATTAGAGAAAGTTGAAATGAATGAAAATGAAATTGGTTATTACAGGAGTTATCCAAATAAATGTTATAGATTCTGACAATCACCAGCAATGTTGTATAAGTCTTACAGAAAACGTCCAGCGTCAGGCTCCGTGATGTATTCCCATGTATGTTGCTGACGTGACACGTGTACTGTCCAGACACAGATCTGTCTACAGCTGGTATATACAACACAGCCTCCCTCGGTCCCGTGATCACCCTCTGTCTGGATGTGCCCCACAAGGTCACAGTGCAGGCGGGGTAACAGTCAGCAGAACATGTCACTGTGAGAGGGTCACCTTCCCCAGCAACCTATGCTATTCGTGAGAGGCGACTTTAAAGATCGGGTGGCCGTGGTGGTCAGGCCCAGTGACTTGGTAGATAACCATCATTCGAGGACGTGGGTCGTAGTTCACAATTTCAATCACTGGTTTGTCTGGTCAAGACTGGCCGCCGTCATAAAGCTTGGATATCGCTGGTCTTTCAAGTGTAAAAGTCAGTATCGCTAGTGTTGGGGGTCACAAGGTCATGTACCATAAGTAGTCCGCCACAAGAATGAACCCAACTTTAGAGCGTTGTCGTCCCCAACCCTTGCCAGGATGGCCGAAGCAAATAACGGTTTTTACTTTGATCAGCCATAGGGTAAATAACATACAAGTCAACGAACTTGTCAGCAAAAACGCTGGCCCGCTGCATCCAAAAGCAATGTACGGTGACAACATGTCTTGACCATCCTACCGACAGCCTCTTCTAAAGTTCCTCGAACCATTTTATTTATCAAGCTTCAAGTTTCCATGGCAACCTTTCGCGAAATACCTAATTTTTGTTAGTGTTGCTCCTACTTTGATTTTGGTTGCCCATGAAAGTATTTTACTTGACACCATCTATTATAATTATAATGGTTGAACCAAGTTCAAAATTAATAATATCACAGTACATTGAACACATATGTTAGGCCCCATTACTGACTATACACCTAGGCCAAATTGCAATACATTTTGAAAGAAGAGGGACGATTAATAATCTTAAATGTGTTTCTAAATATGGTTGACGTCGTGGCCATGTGTTACATCGGATCGGAGTCCCAGGGCACTGTAGAAATATAAAAACTAAGATCATTGTAGCCTTGTAGATCAGAAGTAATGTTGAATATGCAAATGATACTGATGGACGGGCGGACAACTAATCACGCAATATGCCCACTGGACTTTCCGTCAGGTGGGCTAAAATCATCCATGAATTGCATCATGACTGCCATCTAAAGTAGAGAGTGTGAATACAATGCCATGTACGTACTCACGTACTCACTCACTGTACCATTGAAAGTAGAACAAGAAAGGGATTTCACAGTGTACATATTGTTTACCTAAAAGTCTACCTGTACACGGTATCATGTAGTTCCGTATATCCAGACATTTTACACAATGAAAAACAATATTAAACAATAGCATAAACGATATGCACCTTCTGTACACGATACTTTTAATATCAATTCCACACAAACTAACTAAGACTCACACAGAACATTCAGAGTGTATCCCTGACTCCAGTCTGACAGGACGCCCTCTTCTTCAGACTGACACGTGTAGACCCCCGCGTCCCCCTTGGTGACGTTGTCTATAGTCAGGACTGCCCCCTCCACGTGTACCTCGCTCTCCACCCTCCTGTTGTTTCTCCTCCAGGTGTAGGACGTGTTCAGGGTATACGGGTACAGAGACCAGTCTAGAGGAAGACTCCGGGAGGTGGAGGAGCAGGTCAGCATCACCGGACTACCTGATACGGGGTCGGCAGATGTCGTGCTGATGTTCGGTTGTGATGGTTTCTCTGAGAACAGTGTGAAAGAGAACTATCTAATAATTGTCTGCTCGCTGTATGACATAAAAGAGAACCTTAAGGTAAAGAATGTGTACACACACTTCGTCGGGACTCAAACCCACTTTTCACAACGTTAGCTGGACTGGAATATTTATTCGAATCAGTCAATGTGTCTGTAACAATCCCCCCTGGAAGATCCGGGTTTGAATTCATTCGTCTTGCATGAGGTGACTTGGTTGATGCATGTCATCGTACCCGTCTTACGTAGATCGATGCTCATGTCAGTCACTGGATTGTCTGGTCCAGACACGATTATTTACAGACCGCCGTCTTATAACAGGAATTTTGCTGAGTGCGGCGTTAAACAACAAACATCTTAAGATCATATGTGATTTTCTATCCATTTCTGCGAGAGTCAATAACTGTTTAGGGAATAAATACTGAATTTACAAATTAATGTCCAAGTACTTTTTACCGCCTCTGTGGACTAGTGGATAGAGCGTCTGTCCGGAGGACGGAAGGTCGGTGGTTCGATCCCCGGACGCGTCAGACCAAAAGACGTTAAAAGATGTTACCCTGCCTGGCGTGTGTGCACGTCGCTATGTAAATGCAATATTTTTTAACGCGACTTTAAACTCTATTTTACCTCACTTTACCTCAGTCATATGCATGTTTATTATTTTACTCAACAAATGCCAATATCCAAATCACTCTCTATGATAGATGTGGTTGTTGACAACAGATAGCAGTCACAGTTAGCCCATCCTCACTTATCACTTGTATTATGTCGCCATTCTTTTACCTTGATTATCGATGATATAGTTTGCCACACACACGTGTTCGAAGTATAAATGCCATTTCTGGTGCACTCCTCGCTGTCCTACCATGTCCCCACAGATCAATCTTAAACTCATAGGGCGGTCGGGTAGCCTAGTGGTTAAAGCGTTCGCTCGTCACGCCGAAGACCCGGGTTCGATTCCCAACATTGGTACAATGTGTGAAGCCCATTTCTGGTGTCCCCCGCCGTGATTGCTTGAATATTGCTAAAAGCGGCGTAAAACCAAACTCACTCACTCACTAAACTCATAATGGAAAACTCATCTTTAGTTGTGGATAAATTTACCCTTGCATCATTTACAAGTCAGGTACAATATTCCTTTCATTGTATTTCAAAAACGAGCGTTCAATATGGAATTGTCTATTTGGGCGATAAACTGATCATACTCAGATCATCTGGTTACTTACGCAGTACATTGAGAAGCTGAGTCCACGTGTTATCAGACCTGTCACTGTTGTAGGTAACACACTGGTACACTCCGGCGTCCTGCACGTCGACACTGTGGAATATGAGACTGACCAGCGTCCTTCCTTGCAGGGATGTTTTGACAGTCAGCTGAATCCTTGTCCCGTTCCCTGTATGTGTGTTGATAGATGTAAACACATGTGCATTGTCCTCCACGTCGAACAGGACCATGGATTCATCAGGCCTGAGCTTCCCATTAGGTCTGACAGACACAATCTCAAACTCCGGGACAGCTAGAAGTACATTCCAGGACATGTGGACTCTTTCCCCGACACGGGCAACAGTGTTGTTCTTGGAGGCTGAAACAACACATTAGAAACATCACTATGCAGTTGGTGAAGTCTAATGTACCTTCAGAACTGTAGGACAATACCCACTGTTTCAGATCCACCTTATGTTCACGTGTTTTCATTATTATTTCCCATTGTATAATTATGTAAAAGTATGTGAAAGGCTGAAACAAAACATTTGGAGTAATAATGCAGGATCTAGTTGATAAAGCAAATGTTGTCTTCATCAGTTTATTACAGTTTTACAATGACAAATGCAATGTAGCATGAAGTCTACCTGATGCCCGAAAGACATTTAAATGGAATACTTAGTGCCGGGCAGCCAAAGCAGTAAAATGTTCGCACACCCCGACGATAATGGTTCTTTCACAGGCCATCTCTTGTTTTATGTAGTCCGTCATTGTGTTGCTAAATTGACGCAAATATCCAAGTCACCAGCTACTCCCTAACATGTGTCTAGTGCTATTTGTATCATTTGTGACCCACCAGGCGGCAAGGGTCCTTATGAGTGATAGGATACACTTGTGCTATGACGACATAAAGACGTTTGACATCAACGTTTTTCAGGGTGTGAGTGAGTGTGGTTTTACGCCGCTTTTAGCAATATTTCAGCAATATCACACCAGAAATGCACTTCACACACTGTACCCATATCGGGAATCGAACCCGTGTCTTCGGCGTGACGAGCGAACGCTTTAACCACTAGGCTACCCGATTACCCGTATTTCAGGGGAGATAGCAACGTGTGCGGACTGTATGAACATATCTTATTCTTCTCACGTTAGTTCGTAATATGTGATAAAAACATTATTTCAAAACCATTCATCATATATGTCTACTTTCAGTTGATCAGACATTATGTCTAAAAACTGAATGATTACATAAACGGTTATACGTCGGAAAATGTGGCCAATGTTTGATATCATGTATCTGGATTTTTGTGCTCCGAAGACACTGAAGTTTTGAATTATAATGACAAGTCAAAATGTAATTTTATACCCACAGGGTCCCATTTTGCATGGTTGGTCACATTTATTGCTAATGCTTGTGTGCATGAGGATCCGGTTCAGAATAGGTCTTCAGCAACCCGTGCTTGTTGAAGAGGCGACTAACGGGAGCGGGTGATCAGGCTTGGTTGATGCATGTCATCGTATACCAATAGATTTGATGCTCATGATGGCAATCACTGGATTGTCTTGTCCAGACTCGATTTGTTACAGACCGCCGTCATGTGGCTGGAATATTATTGCTGAGTGCGAAAGAAACAAACAACTGTGAACTGTTGTGACCTTTTCGCTTTGAATTTTACATCCCGAATCTAATTCTATCGGAAGAGGCGACTAAAATGGATGACGTCGTTGATTTCGTGTCATAGTGTCCCGGTTGCGTTGCTCATAGTATCAGTCACTGGTTTGCATGGCCCATTAAGCTGAGTGTTGCGTAAATCAAGTAACAAAAAATGGCCATTCTCTACAAACCAATACATGAAAAATCAGGAATAATTATTGGTTTTGAAATGTTACTTTGCTCATTAGACGAAGCTCTCATTCTTGATTCAAGGGCACAACGGAATGATCAGATGGTATCTGGAAAGGTAAACACTTACCAGCAAACTCCAAAAAAATTCCATACAGAATCACAGCTTTTAGACAACGAATATACAAAAACATTTTGATCACAGTTTACATGATCTAGTTTGATGGCTGACAGAAAAACTAAAATACTACATAAGGTTTTCCAAACTATTTGTGAGTCAGGAGTGTCATGAAATATTTCCGTGTAACAATGAATGGGTCAGCGCTCGAGGTGCTAACATTACTTTATGACGGAAATTGAAACAAGTGAATAGATTCATCTGCAAAAGCAATGCATCTGCCATGCATAGCGACACCAAATCTAAATACCTTCAATATGTGATACTGGCATCTCTTACAGTTTAAACTCTGTATGTCCTGCATTTGAAATTCGTACTTTGTTGCTAGATAATTTTATTTACACTAAATGTGGCAGATAAAGATCTATTCGATTGTGAATGACTGTCCCAGGCTTGTGGCTTACATTACAGTGAAGATTATGTAGTAACCAGTGAAGCAAACATTCGGATCGTATGTGTTTAGGAATAGTGGTGTTGTTTTGTGAGGGGGATATATTTTATTGCCTGAAACAATAATACTGTATTTAATACAGCATGGCGTGAAAAGTCCTTATCAATTAACCGGTGTGTAAAAAATACTTGCTTATGCAGCTAAAAACTTGGAACAGAATGTGTGATGTTTTATGTTAATACTAATATGAAAGGTTATACGTTGTCTAAAACTGAAGAAGTATGTATGTGTACCGAGTGATGTCTTTGATGGTGTAGTATGAAGCGACAACATTGACAAGACATTCCCAAGTTATTTCAGAAGCACCGAAATGTGATTTGATGTATTGCAAATGTAAATTGTCATTCCGAGTTCATTATTCCTATCTATCAAACGAGTGAGTTAGCATGTTGGGTTTGACGCCGCTTTGTACAATATTTCAGTTATGTCACGGTGTGTCCGATTCATGTGTGTGTACAGGTAGTGGGCAAAAGTGAGCGTGATGCATGTCCGGGACGTTTACCATTTTGGTGAGACCCACCAGCACGATTGTGGTGATGACAAACCTTAAACCTCATGAGACAAACCTCAGAGTGAATCAGGGATTCGAAATCACGATCATAGGCTTCTGGCATGCCTAAGAGACGCAACTCTTCTTAGAATGTGCCCTAATAGAAACCTAGGTCACCCGTGTCCGCATATGATGAAAGAAACTACTTAGTCATAATATGTCACTGAATTCAGGTTATGCTTCATAGTTACCATATGTTTGTATTGTTCGCATATACGTATCTATATTCAAAACGGGAGCAGCTTGGAATGTTGCGTGTCATGTTGTTCATTGATCATTTAGCAATGGGTCTGCACCAGCACTGTTAACGAGTCTTTTCTGTTTCCATACATGATGATTTATCAGTCGTGCACTGATAGGAAATGTCTGGAGGACGTTTCGTAACACGTGACCTACATGCACACAACGACGCCATTCGTGAATATGCACACAAGAAACGGTAGGTTTGTTATTGTTCAATCCTTAAGTTTTAGTTCGTTTTATACAATAATTTCAGTCATATCAGTGCTGTGTAGTAATATGGGGTACCTTTAACAGGTATTATGGACTGAGCAGTGTAGTACTCGGGACGCAAATAAAAGCTATTTGGTACGCACATTGAACACTTAAAGAATAATAATGATATACGGAAATTATTATTTTCATAAACCTCTTTATAAGTATTTTGACAGGAATGTAACTTCAAATTTCACCTTCTATGATCTAGGAACGTTTTCTGTAGGTTTTCGTTCTGCTTGACACCATCGCTATCTGTGAAAAGTAGGGCTGAACTTAGTAGCTTATATCAAAACATGGCGTGTATATTCTCGACTTCATATATAGGACCCGTGAAGATCCGGGGTAGAATAGGTCTTCAGCAACCCATGCTTGCCGTAAAAGGCGACTATGCTTGTCGTAAGAGGTGACTAACAGGATCGGATGGTCAGGATCGCTGACTTTGTTGATGCATGTCATCGTATCCCAATTGCGTTGATCGATGCTCAAGAAAACAATCACTGGATTGTCTGGTCCAGACTCGATTATTTACAAACCGCCTTCATATAGCTGGAATATTTCTGAGTGCGGCGTAAAACAATAAACCAACCAACCAACTTCATGTATAGCACGTCGACAAGTTGGTAGAAACCAATAAATAAGCAAAGGCTATCTATGCTATATTGGCTGGTGCGAATCATGTTTCAATAATGGATGTTTAACCATGTATTGAATTTACACTGTTTATTGTCGGTACAGAAAATTGAATTTGAGGATGAAGTTATAAATCAGTTTAATCAATCCTGTCTCCTTTTTCAGTGGAATATCTGGCAATATGCCTCCACCTGTGGCTTGCTATTTCCTATTCAGGTATGTCGATTAATAAACTGATTTAAAATTACCTTTTGGTGAATTTGTCTATCTCTGAAGTCTTTCAGGAGATATTTATAAAGTAAAAATAATGACGCTCGCTGACAAACGGAAAAGTTTATTCAAGTGTCAAAATTCACCGTTTTGGAGTGTTGTTAAAACATTGTTACAGTTGAGGTCTGAATATAAGGACTTGAATAAGCTCACCTTTGCAAGATCAAAGGAGTTGGTAACAAACCACAGCCATGTATGATACATTTTCGATAGATGCTTGCATCAATTCTAGAAACATGTGAATATCCCAAATGTATATTGGAGTGTCATCAATCTGAGGCACACGTAAAATCTCTTTATTCGTCAAGCTTCTTCTGATCAAACAACACTGCCAACAATTAATCACATTTGTCAGCGAAGTATGAACATAAATTCATCCTGTTAACATGTATTTTGTGGTTGACATCGGTCATAATTTGATCTTAATGGAACCATGGGTTAAGACTTAGGTCCTCAGCAACCCATGCTTGTCGTAAGAGGCGACAAACAGGATCAGGGGGTCAGGCTCACTGACTTGGTTGATGCATGTCATCGTATCCCAGTTGCGTGGATCGATGCTCATGATTTCTATCACTGAATTGTCTGGTCCAGACCTGATTGTTTACAGGCCGCCGTCATAGAGCTGGAATATAGCTGAATGCGGCGTTAACAAACAAACGACTAAGAGGGTTTTTTTTAGTTTATAAGAAGAGATGAGGATACAGAGATACGTAATTCATGTCTGCACGAACGCGTCGACGTTGGGAAATGAATCAGTTAACAATGAAAATGCCATGCGTTACCTCCCTTGAGCGTGTAGGTATTTTTGCATACGCGGTCGGACGGCGCAGTGAGTGGATTTGAATACCTGAAAAGTAGCTCGATATGCGTGCATTGAGCCCTAACGTTTATCACTTGGGGATCTTATTATTTCTATTTATCCATGTCCATCTTGGTAATATGTAATACATCTTGCTACTAACTTGTGTATAACCCTTTTATTATTTCTACTTCAGCAATCCCCACAAAGGATATGGGAAATGTACAAACGTGTGAAGGAAAAACAGAATATTTTCCCTGGATCAATGATACTCAAAATCTTCGAAAAGTTCGATATGATTTTAAAAACAAAAATATTGCAAATTCATTCCGTCCAAATTTCTCATCGGTACGTTCTTTTTATTACTTCTTTAAATCAAATAGATAACTATATACAGGATATCCTTTAATGGATTCCAATGTGAAGGTCAAGTGCTGAAGTCACGAGAAATATAAGCATGAAAACGTTCTATAGTTAAAATATAATTATAAATCTTATATCTTGTGGTCAGTGGCCGTCAAAGGTTGTACCATAAAAGGATGTACCATATATTTAGCCTTTATGGCTATCAACATAGATAACAAATAAATAGACATGACTGTTTCTTTAGTGGGTGAATTAATATGTTGATTTATTTCTAAATTTGCGTCATATATGAATTTCTTTACTGAGTTGACATTAGTTTGCTTGACCAGTACCGTTAATATCCTAGAACCTTAGCAACTACTCCGGAAACTAGTAGGAAGTTCGCTGGTATAACATGTCCTTCTAGTCTAGTATGATATGTTTCTGAAGTTTTGATTTGATTTTGATATCTCAATGAAACCTTGTCCAAGGAGGTTAACTATCTTCAGATATAGTGCTTGTATTAATCTTTCCGTGTTCCGCGTATGTTTTGAGGTTTATCTGAGTAGCTGCAGAATAAAACGATGTTACAAATGACGCAAAATGACAAAACATAAAATGTTTAATTCTGGTGCTGTCTTACTCTTTTTAACTTAACATCACGACCGCAAAATTTCCGTCCCGAAACATTTTATTATTTCTGCTTGAGGGTTCGAAACCAATACAGGCAACACACCACATGTAAACAACATACAAATGAGCATAGGAAATCATGGTTACTGGTGGAGCTTGTAACATTGTACGGTCATCTGAAACGCTAACATATTCTACAAATCTGCTCTATGACTATAAACATATGGATTTGAAGCTAAAACTTTAGCGTTTTGGGGAATTTCGATCTGATTTTTAACATAGTCGCATCACGTTTGGCCATATGTAATATGACTGTATAATGCGCTAAAAAATTGATTGTCGTCTATGTTCAATCATCGCATACTCTTTGACCTTTATATACAACTGTGCATGTCACAGGAACCATTGTGAAATGGTTGTTTGCTACATTTTTCAAACATATATTCCCATACTGCTAAGATAGTACTAGTGGTACACAGTGTCGAGTCAAAGGTGCGATACAAAAGCATTGGGTGGAACATGTTCCATGTAATATTAGTTGGTGTGTATCTTGTTGCAGGTGAAATTCACAGGTGAAACACTGAAATACCGTCTACGTGTATTGGAAGAAGACGACATCGTTGCATTTCAAATAGATAATGTAACGACGGCAGACAGTGGGGAATATAATATCAGTTTGACCTATATCAACGGGGTCAAGAAGGGACGCATTGGACGTTTGGACGTGAAAGGTAATTGTTAACGTTGTGCTGATAGAAGTAATAATTATTTCAAGAGGTAGTCGAACCCTGTCACATCCGTGGGACGTAACACTACACATTGAGATGCGGCTCCTCAGATATGTGGAGCCTTAAAGCTGTTACAAACAATCATGGTCTAAAGATTAAAATGTCCTCTAATAATGGATTTGTCTACGACCCCACGAACGTGTGGAACACAATGTGTCCTTGTGTCATGTGTATTTTCTGTGAAATATTTCTGTTGAGTTGACACAAACTATTGCTCATCTTTGGAATTAATTAGAATCAACCATGAAATATATTGTAGTCATGATTGAAGTTCAAGTGCTGCATGCTGTTGCAATTAATTATACCATAATTGTTGAATTGAATAATTTAATTGACATAACGAATTTCAGTCTTGCAATTTCATGACAAAGCTCTATGATATTATATTGCAGAAAATGTCTTAGGGAACTTCAACATAACATGTGAAAACGACACAGAGACAGTCGTCTGTACATGTGGGAATAAGACTGGCAGCGATCTGTACACATGGGTAAAAAAACACTATTTTACTTACGTATTGTAACAGAATTTACAGAATATATCTTAATAGCTTCGCTCAAAAATGTATTGATTTTGCAACGGTATATTTGCAAAGTATATGTTCATTGACACTGGCACTGATTTTCCCTTATCTAATCTATTGGCTCTACTAAACATGAAGTTATGCCATTGTAAATCCTTTATCTGTTTAAATGTCACATGATTTTTCAATAACGAAGCAGCTCACTGTTTGGAGATTTCTATTGATACATATTTGTAACATCATGTCAATTCCTAACAAGTAGTGTTCTCATATGTCATTTGATGACGTTAAAGGTCTGTTCACTCGGTGGAAAGCAAAACGAAATTGTATGCACCATATCTTGTGCATATATGTTTGGATTTTTTGGCAATTCATGGCTGAGCTTGATACATCCACAAAACTCAAACATCCATACACACACAGCTCCGTCGTGCATACACGTTCACTTAGTCATGCATACACGTACCACTCACTCATGCATACACACACCACTCAGTCATGCATACACACACCACTCAGTCATGCATACACACACATCTCAGTCATGCAAAAAGAGACAACTCTCAGTGATTCATACACACACCCCTCAGTCAAATATATACAAGCAGCTCACTCATGCACACACACACATTCCAATCATCTATACAGACGCATCTCAGTCATGCACACACACGCATTCCAATCATCTGTACAGACGCATCTCAGTCATGCACACACACACATTCCAATTATCTGTACAGACGAACCTCAGTCATGCACATACACACACATTCCAATCATCTGTACAGACGCATCTCAGTCATGCACACACACACTTTCCAATCATCTGTACAGACGCATCTCAGTCATGCACACACACACACATTCCAATCATCTGTACCAACGCATCTCAGTCATGCACACACACATTCCAATCATCTGTACCGACGCATCTCAGTCATGCACACACACACTCAATCATGAATATACACATATCTCAGTAATGCATTCACACATCACACAGTTATGCATTCACACACATCTAAGCCATGCATACACATATATCTCAGTCATGCATACACATACAGCTCAGTCAAATATAAACACACAGTGCAGTCATGCATACCACACACACATCTCAGCCAGGCATACACACACCACTTACGAATACACATACAACTGCTTACATGTACCACTCACTCACGCATACATATACCATACACACATGCATAGATATACCACTCAGATAGGCATACACATACCACTCAGTTATGCATACACACACCACTCACTCATGCATACATGTACCACTCAGCCAGACACACACACACCACTCACTCATGACTGCATACACCACTCACTCATGCATACACACACTACTCACTCATGCATACATGTACCACTCAGCCAGGCATACACTCACCACTCACTCATGCATACACACATCACTCACTCATGCTTACATATACCACTCACTCATGCATACATATACCGCTCACTCATGCATACATATACCACTCACTCATGCATACATATACCGATCAGGCAGGCACACACACACCACTCACTCATGCATACACACATCACTCACTTATGCATATAAATACCACTCAGCCAGGCATACACACGCCACTCACTCATGCATACATAAACCACTCAGCCAGGCATACACACATCACTCACTCATGCATATAAATACCACTCACCCAGGCATACACACGCCACTCACTCATGCAAACACACACCGCTCACTCATGCATACACACACCACTCACTCATGAAAACACACACAACTCATTCGAGCACTCAGACGTATTTCGGTCATGCAAAGACACACACACACACCTCAGTCACTCATGCACACAACTCAGTCATGCAAGCACTCACCACTCAATCATGCATACAAATTTATCCCAGACGAGCATACACACACATCTCAGTCATGCATACACACATAACTCACTCATGCATATATACACGAATCTCAGTCATGCATATACACACCACACACTCATGCATACATACACCTCTCTGTCATGCATTCACACACCACTCAGTCATGCATACCCACGCCACTCAGTTCTCCAAAGACACATTAGTCAGCTATGCATACACGCATCACTCAGTCATGCATACACACGCCACTTAGGCATGCATACACACCACTCAGTATTGGTTTCCAACCTTCAAGCAGAATAAATAAAATGTATGTTTCTGGACGGAAATTTTGCGGTCGTGATGTTAAGTTAAAAAGAGTAAGACATACCACAATTAAACATTTTATGTTTTGTCATTTTGCGTCATTTGTAACATCGTTTTATTCTGCTGCTACTCAGTTAAACCTCAAAACATACGCGGAACACGGAAAGATTAATACAAGCACTATATCTGAAGATAGTTAACCTCCTTGGACAAGGTTTCATTGAGATATCAAAATCAAATCAAAACTTCAGAAACATATCATACTAGACTAGAAGGACTTGTTATACCAGCGAACTTCCTACTAGTTTCCGGAGTAGTTGCTAAGGTCAAGGATATTAACGGTACTGGTCAAGCAAACTAATGACAACTCAGTAAAGAAATTCATATATGAGGCAAATTTAGCAATAAATCAACATATCAATTCACCAACTAAAGAAAGAGTCATATCTATTTATTTGTTATCTGTGCCATAAAGGCTAAATATATGGTACATCCTTTTATGGTACAACCTTTGACGGCCATTGACCACATGATATAAGATTTATAATGATATTTTTAACTATAGAACGTTTTCATGCTTATATCTCTCGTGACTTCAGCACTTGACCTTCACATTGGATTCCATTGAAGGATATCCTGTATATAGTTATCTATTTGATTTAAAGAAGTAATAAAAAGAACGTACCGATGATAAATTTGGACTGAATGAATTTGCAATATATTTGTTTTTAAAAACATATTGAACTTTTCGAAGATTTTGAGTATCATCGTTCCAGGGAAAATATTCTGTTTTTCCTTCACACGTTTATACATTTCCCATATCCTTTGAGGGGCTTGCTGAAGTAGAAATAATAAAAAAGGTTATACACAAGTTAGTAGCAAGATGTATTACATATTACCAAGATGGACATGGATAAATAGAAATGATAAGATCCCCAAGTGATAAACGTTAGGGCTCAATGCACGCATATCGAGCGACTTTTCAGGTATTCAAATCCACTCACTGCGCCGACCGACCGCGTATGCAAAAATACCAACACGCTCAAGGGAGGTAACGCATGGCATTTTCATTGTCAACTGATTAATTTCCCAACGTCGACGCGTTCGTGCAGACATTAATTTACGTATCTCTGTATCCTCATCTCTTCTTATAGACACCCTGCACACCCCTGATACACATGCATGCACACTTGCATAAACTAAAAAAAACCCCTCTTAGTCGTTTGTTTGTTAACGCCACACTCAGCTATATTCAAGCTCTATGACGGCGGCCTGTAAACAATCGAGTCTGGACCATGGAGTATCATGTTCTCATATTAATTGGCATAATTTACAAGATTGTTGTGTTATTGTGCATTTCAGAGGTAAAAAGTATAACACACATAACTCGTCATCAAATAAAACGAATCTAACCAGTAACTGTGTCACATCATTCAGCGATGCACATGCGTTCTGCTAAGTATGATTGACGCGTGTGTATGTATGGCTGAGTTGTGTGTGTGCATGGTGGAGTGTGTATGACTAAGTTGTAGGTATGTATGGCTGATTTGTGTGTGTGTGTGTGTGTGTGTGTGTGTGTGTGTGTGTGTGTGTGTGTGTGTGTGTGTGTGTGTGTGTGTGTGTGTGTGTGTGTGTGTGTGTGTGTGTGTGTGTGTGTGTGTGTGTGTGTGTTGTGTGTATCATTGGCTCTGTTCCTCTGTATGCATGACTGAGTTGCGTGTATGCATAATTAAGTTGTGTGTAAATATGACTGAGCTGTTTGTATGCATGACTGACTTGTGTGTATGCATGGCCGAGTTGTATGTTTGACTGAGTTCTCTGTGTGCATGGCTTAGTTTTCTGTGAATGAATGACTGATTTCTATGTATGCATGGTTGAGTTGAGTGTATGCACAACTGAGTTGTATGCATGAATGAGTTGTGTGTATGCATGGCTTAGTTTTCTGTATGCATGACTGAGTTGTGTGTGTGCATGACTCAGCTGTATGTACGCCTGTCTGGTTTTATGCATGATTGAGTTGTGTGTTTGCATGACGGAGATTTGTGTATGCATGGCCGAGCTCCATGTATGTGTATGCATGGCTGAGTTGTAGGCATGACTTCGTTCCATGTATGTATAACTGGCTTGTGTGTATGCCTGCCTGAGTTGAGTCTTTGCCTGAATGAATTGTTTGTATGCCTGTTTAAGTTATGCACAACTGAGTTGTATATATATAACTGAGTTGTGTGTATGCCTGTTTACATTTTGTGTATGAATGACTGACTTGTGTGTATGCAAGACTGGGTTGTATATATATGACTGAGTTGTATGTATGCCTGTTTACATTGTGTGTATGAATGGCTGACTTGTGTGTATGCACAACTGAGTTGTATATATATGACTGAGTTGTGTGTGTGCCTGTTTAAATTTTGTGTATGAATAACTGACTTGTGTATATGCACGACTGAGTTCAGCGTATGTATAACTGAGTTCCATGACTGAGTTGTGTGTAAGCATGCCTTAGTTTTCTGTATGCATGACTGAGTTCTATTTATGCATTACTGAGTTGTGTGTGTGCGTGACAGAGTTGTATGTATGCATGCCTTAGTTTTCTGTATGCATGACAGATTTCTGTGTATGCATGGCTGAGTTGTGTGTATGCATGGCTAAGTTGTGTGTTTGCATGACTGAGTTGTATGTATGGCTGGTTGAGTTGTATGTATGCATGGCTTAGTTTTCTGTATGCATGGCAGAGTTGTGTGTATGCATGGCTGAGTTGTGTGTATGCATGGCTGAGTTGTGTGTAT